GCAGCACCGGACCGGAACCAAAAGACTGAAAAACACCAAAAATGCCAAAAGAAAACCAAAAAATATCAAAAATACCAAAAAAAAATACCAAAAAAAAACCAAAAATACCAAAAAAAACAAAAATACCAAAAAAACCCAAAATACCAAAAAAAACCAAAGATTTCCACACTAGTCCAGACTCCGGGCTAGTGTGGAAATTTTTGGTTTTTTTGGTATTTTTGTTTTTTTTTGTATTTTTGGTTTTTGGGTTTTGGTTACGAACACATGTTTTAAAACACAAGCCGTGTTTTAAAACACAGACGTCAACACGAGGAGCCTAGTACATACACGCGCGTGTCGAAAGCATGCAGAAAGGACTGTTGGCAGAAAGGAACAAGTCCCCAAACTAGCCCTGAAGCTATATAAACGAACATCTCGAACAGGTACAAACCAACAGTTTCGTCCCCAAACTAGCCCTGAAGCTATAGAAACGAGCATCTCGAACAGGTACAAACCAAAAGTTTCCATCCCACGCAACAGTCCTTTCTGCTAAATTAACCCTAAACCTTAAACCCTAAAAAAACCCTGTAAAGCCCTAAACCCTATAAAACCCTAAACCCTACAAAACCCTCAACCCTACAAACCCTATAAGCCATACAAAACCCTAAACCCTATAAAACCCTACAGAACCCTAGAAACCGTATAAAACCCTATAAACCCTATAAACACCCTATAAAACCGTATAAAACCCTATAAACCCTATAAACCCTATAAACCCTATGAACCCCATAAAACCCTATAAACCCTATAAACCCTTTAAAAACCCCATAAAAACCCTATAAAACCCTATAAACCCCTATAAAACCCTATAAAACCCTGTAGAACTCTATAAACCCTATAAAAACCCTATAGCACCCCATAAAATCCGATAAACCCTATAAAACCCTACAAACCGTATACACCCCTATAAACACCCTATAAAACCCTATAAACCATATGAAAACCCTATGAAAACCCTATAAAAACCCTATAAAAA